AGTGACCCACCTGTGATCTACATCAGGTGACAAGTGATCCACCTGTGATCTACATCAGGTGACAAGTGATCCACCTGTGGTCTACATCAGGTGACAAGTGACCCACCTGTGGTCTACATCAGGTGACAAGTGATCCACCTGTGGTCTACATCAGGTGACAAGTGACCCACCTGTGGTCTACATCAGGTGACAAGTGATCCACCTGTGGTCTACATCAGGTGACAAGTGACCCACCTGTGGTCTACATCAGGTGACAAGTGATCCACCTGTGGTCTACATCAGGTGACAAGTGATCCACCTGTGGTCTACATCAGGTGACAAGTGATCCACCTGTGGTCTACATCAGGTGACAAGTGATCCACCTGTGGTCTACATCAGGTGACAAGTGACCCACCTGTGGTCTACATCAGGTGACAAGTGACCCACCTGTGATCTACATCAGGTGACAAGTGACCCACCTGTGGTCTACATCAGGTGACAAGTGACCCACCTGTGGTCTACATCAGGTGACAAGTGACCCACCTGTGGTCTACATCAGGTGACAAGTGACCCACCTGTGGTCTACATCAGGTGACAAGTGACCCACCTGTGATCTACATCAGGTGACAAGTGATCCACCTGTGGTCTACATCAGGTGACAAGTGATCCACCTGTGGTCTACATCAGGTGACAAGTGACCCACCTGTGGTCTACAAGAGGTGAAAATGAGTAAATTAAAAACTGACAAAGACATCAAGTTACCATAAAAAAATAATTTCAAATCAAAGGAAGAAAAATAATCTAAATAAAATCTTTGTAATTTCCAGTGTGACTGTGGTCGAGATGTGCGGAACGGCACCTCTAGGCCTACGGAACGGCACCTCTAGGCCTACGGAACGGCACCTCTAGGCCTACGGAACGGCACCTCTAGGCCTACGGAACGGCACCTCCAGGCCTGCGGAACGGCACCTCCAGGCCTACGGAACGGCACCTCCAGGCCAGCGGAACGGCACCTCAAGGCCTACGGAACGGCACCTCCAGGCCTACGGAACGGCACCTCCAGGCCTACGGAACGGCACCTCCAGGCCTACGGAACGGCACCTCCAGGCCTACGGAACACAACCTCAGGACTGCGGAACTTGACCTCCAGGACACACGGATTTAAGGAGACGTAGGAGCCATGTGGCGCATTCTTTCGTGAGTCGTCACGCAACTTTCGAGCGTCCTGTCATTAGTCAATGTGCACGCCTCACGAACAGCAACGCACGCCTCACGATTCCTCAAGCATGTTTTATGAACCCTTAAGCCAGCGTCACGAGCCCTCAAGCCAGCGTCACGAGCCCTCAAGCCAGCGTCACGAGCACTCAAGCCAGCGTCACGAGCCCTCCAGACAGCGTCACGAGCCCTCCAGACAGCGTCACGAGCCCTCATGCCAGCGTCACGAGCCCTCTAGGTAGCGTCACGAGCACTCAAGCCAGCGTCACGAGCCCTCAAGCCAGCGTCACGAGCCCTCAAGCCAGCGTCACGAGCCCTCAAGCCAGCGTCACGAGCCCTCAAGCCTGCGTCACGAGCCCTCAAGCCAGCGTCACGAGCCCTCAAGCCAGCGTCGCGAGCCCTCAAGCCAGCGTCACGAGCACTCAAGCCAGCGTCACAAGCACTCAAGCCAGCGTCACGAGCCCTCAAGCCAGCGTCACGAGCCCTCAAGCCAGCGTCACGAGCCCTCAAGCCAGCGTGACGAGCACTCAAGCCAGCGTCACAAGCACTCAAGCCAGCGTCACAAGCCCTCAAGCCAGCGTCACGAGCCCTCAAGCCAGCGTCACGAGCCCTCAAGCCAGCGTCACGAGCCCTCAAGCCAGCGTCACGAGCCCTCAAGCCAGCGTCACGAGCCCTCAAGCCAGCGTCACGAGCCCTCAAGCCAGCGTCACGAGCCCTCAAGCCAGCGTCACGAGCCCTCAAGCCAGCGTCACGAGCCCTCAAGCCAGCGTCACGAACCGTCAAGCCAGCGTCACGAGCCTACAAGCCAGCGTCACGAGCCCTCAAGCCAACGTCACGAGCCCTCAAGCCAGCGTCATGAGCCCTCAAGCCTGCGTCACGAGCCCTCAAGGCAGCGTCACGAGCCAAGAAGCCAGCGTCACGAACCCTCAAGCCAACGTCACGAGCCAACAAGCCAGCGTCATGAGCCCTCAAGCCAGCGTCACGAGCCCTCAAGCCAACGTCTCGAGCCCTCAAGCCAGCGTCACGAGCCCTCAAGCCAGCGTCACGAGCCCTCAAGCCAGCGTCACGAGCCCTCAAGCCAGCGTCACGAGCCCTCAAGCCAGCGTCACGAGCCCTCAAGCCAGCGTCACGAGCCCTCAAGCCAGCGTCACGAGCCCTCAAGCCAGCGTCACGAGCCCTAAAGCCAGCGTCACGAGCCCTCAAGCCAGCGTCACGAGCCCTCAAGCCAGCGTCACGAGCCGTCAAGCCAGCGTCACGAACCGTCAAGCCAGCGTCACGAGCCGTCAAGCCAGCGTCACGAGCCTACAAGCTAGCGTCACGAGCCCTCAAGCCAACGTCACGAGCCCTCAAGCCAGCGTCACGAGCCCTCAAGCCAGCGTCACGAGCCCTCAAGGCAGCGTCACGAGCCAACAAGCCAGCGTCACGAACACTCAAGCCAACGTCTCGAGCCCTCAAGCCAGCGTCACGAGCCCTCAAGCCAGCGTCACGAGCCCTCAAGCCAGCGTCACGAGCCAACAAGCCAGCGTCACGAGCCCTGAAGCCCACGTCACGAGCCCTGAAGCCAACGTCACGAGCCCTCAAGCTAGCGTCACGAGCCAACAAGCCAGCGTCACGAGCCAACAAGCCAGCGTCACGAGCCCTCAAGCCAGCGTCACGAGCCCTCAAGCCAGCGTCACGAGCCCTCAAGCCAGCGTCACGAGCCCTCAAGCCAGCGTCACGAGCCAACAAGCCAGCGTCACGAGCCTACAAGCCAGCGTCACGAACCCTCAAGCCAGCGTCACGAGCCCTCAGTCCAGCGTCACGAGCCCTCAGGCCAGCGTCACGAGCCCTCAAGCCAGCGTCACGAGCCCTCAAGCCAGCGTCACGAGCCAAGAAGCCATCGTCACGAGCCAACAAGCCATCGTCACGAGCCAACAAGCTAGCGTCACGAGCCCTCAAGCCATCGTCACGAGCCCTCAAGCCTGCGTCACGAGCCCTCAAGCCAGCGTCACGAGCCCTCAACCTAGCGTCTCGAGCCAACAAGCCAGCGTCAAGAGCCAACAAGCCAGCGAAACGAGCCCTCAAGCCAGCGTCACGAGCCCTCAAGCCAGCGTCACGAGCCCTCAAGCCAGCGTCACGAGCCCTCAAGCCAGCGTCACGAGCCAACAAGCCAGCGTCACGAGCCAACAAGCCGGCGTCACATGCCCTCAAGCCAGCGTCACAAGCCCTCAAGCCAACGTCACGAGCCTTCAAGCCAGCGTCACGAGCCCTCGAGCCACCGTCATGAGCCCTCAAGCCAGCGTCACGAACCCACAAGCCAGCGTCACGAGCCCTCAAGCCAACGTCACGAGCCCTCAACCTAGCGTCACGAGCCATCAAGCCAGCGTCACGAGCCAACAAACCAGCGTCACGAGCCCTCAAGCCAGCGTCACGAGCCAACAAGCCAGCGTCACGAGCCCTCAAGCCAACGTCACGAGCCCTCAAGCTAGCGTCATGAGCCCTCAAGCCAGCGTCACCAGCCCTCAAGCCAGCGTCACGAGCCAACAAGCCAGCGTCACGAGCCCTCAAGCCAACGTCACGAGCCCTCAAGCTAGCGTCACGAGCCTGCGTCACGAGCCAACAAACCAGCGTCACGAGCCCTCAAGCCAGCGTCACGAGCCTTCAAGCCAGCGTCACGAGCCTTCAAGCCAGCGTCACGAGCCCTCAAGCCAGCGTCACGAGCCCTCAAGCCAGCGTCACGAGCCCTCAAGCCAGCGTCACGAGCCCTCAAGCCAGCGTCACGAGCCAACAAGCCAGCGTCACGAGCCAACAAGCCAGCGTCACGAGCCAACAAGCCATCGTCACGAGCCAACAAGCCAGCGTCACGAGCCAACAAGCCATCGTCACGAGCCAACAAGCCATCGTCACGAGCCAACAAGCCAGCGTCACGAGCCCTCAAGCCAGCGTCACGAGCCCTCAAGCCAACGTCACGAGCCCTCAAGCCAGCGTCACGAGCCCTCAAGCTAGCGTCACGAGCCCTCAAGCCAGCGTCACGAGCCCAAAAGCCAGCGTCACGAGCCCTCAAGCTAGCGTCACGATTCAACAAGCCAGCGTCACGAGCCAACAAGCCAGCGTCATGAGCCCTCAAACCAGCGTCACAAGCCAACAAGCCAGCGTCACGAGCCAACAAGCCAGCGTCACGAGCCAACAAGCCAGCGTCACGAGCCCTCAAGCCAGCGTCACGAGCCTTCAAGCCAGCGTCACGAGCCCTCAAGCCACCGTCATGAGCCCTCAAGCCAGCGTCACGAACCCACAAGCCAGCGTCACGAGCCCTCAAGCCAACGTCACGAGCCCTCAACCTAGCGTCACGAGCCAACAAGCCAGCGTCAAGAGTCAACAAGCCAGCGTCACGAGCCCTCAAGCCATCTTCACGAGCCCTCAAGCTAGCGTCACGAGCCAACAAGCTAGCGTCACGAGCCAACAAGCTAGCGTCACGAGCCCTCAAGCCAGCGTCACGAGCCCTCAAGCCAGCGTCATGAGCCCTCAAGCCAGCGTCACGAGCCCTCAAGCCAGCGTCACGAGCCAACAAGCCAGCGTCACGAGCCAACAAGCCAGCGTCACGAGCCAACAAGCCAGCGTCACGAGCCCTCAAACCAGCGTCACGAGCCCTCAAGCCAACGTCACGAGCCTTCAAGCCAGCGTCACGAGCCCTCAAGCCACCGTCATGAGCCCTCAAGCCAGCGTCAAGAGCCAACAAGCCAGCGTCACGAGCCCTCAAGCCAGCGTCACGAGCCAACAAGCCAGCGTCACGAGCCCTCAAGCCAACGTCACGAGCCCTCAAGCTAGCGTCACGAGCCAGCGTCACGAGCCAACAAGCCAGCGTCACGAGCCCTCAAGCCAGCGTCACGAGCCCTCAAGCCATCGTCACGAGCCAACAAGCCAGCGTCACGAGCCAACAAGCCAGCGCCAGCGTCACGAGCCAACAAGCCAGCGCCAGCGTCACGAGCCAACAAGCCATCGTCACGAGCCAACAAGCCAGCGACACGAGCCAACAAGCCAGCGTCACGAGCCAACAAGCCAGCGCCAGCGTCACGAGCCAACAAGCCAGCGTCACGAGCCCTCAAGCCAGCGTCACGAGCCATTAAGCCAGCGTCACGAGCCAACAAGCCAGTGTCACGAGCCAACAAGCCAGCGTCACGAGCCAACAAGCCAGCGTTGCGAGCCAACAAACCAGCGTCACGAGCCATTAAGGCACCGTCACGAGCCAACAAGCCAGCGTCACGAGCCAGCGTTGCGAGCCAACAAGCCAGCGTCACGAGCCAACAAGCCAGCGTCACGAGCCAACAAGCCAGCGTCACGAGCCAACAAGCCAGCGTCGCGAGCCAACAAGCCAGCGTCACGAGCCAACAAGCCAGCGTCACGAGCCAACAAGCCAGCGTCACGAGCCAACAAGCCAGCGTCACGAACCCTCAAGCATGTCTACACTCACTTTTCTACTGGAATCCCTAACACAGCTTCTCGTGAGGATTTTAGGAGGGTCGTTAGGGAGGGAGGAATTGATGCAGCTTGTTGAGAGAGAGGGAGGGAGTAGGAGGGAGAGGGATAAGTAAAGAGGGTCAGATAGTGAGTACTTCACCTTCAGATGATTTCGGGACTCAACGTCCCCGAGGCCCGGTCCCCGACCAGGTCTCCTGGTTGCTTGACAGGTCAATCAGGCTGTTGGACGCGGCTGCTCGCAGCCTGGCGTATAAATCACTGCCTGGTTGATCAGGTATCTTTTGGATGGGCTTATCAAGTTCTCTCTTGAACATTGCGAAAGGCCGACCAGTTATATGCCCCTTATGTGTAGTGGAAGCGAGTTGAACAGTCTCGGGTCTCTGATGTTGATAGTCCTCTCTCTGAGTACCTATTGCACCTCTGCTCTTCAATGGGAGTGTTCTGCACATCCTGCCATGCCTTCTGGTCTCATGCGGTGTTATTTCTGTGTGCAGGTTTGGGACTAGAGTAATAGATAAAAAGAAAAAATCAGGTAAACAAAGTAATAACACATTTTCATAAAGTCTTAACATTTGCACACAATCAATGTGAAGAGAACACAAACAATCTTAATTCATAGCCATGGCGCAATTATCAAACAAAATTTGAATCAAATTTCCAAACAAAAGCTGAGGTCTTTTCTTCTGAAGTGGTTTGACACATCTTGTGTCACCCTGTACAGCGATGTTTGACTCATCTTGTGTCACCTTGTAAAGCGATGTTTGACACACCTTGTGTCACCTTGTACAGCGATGTTTGACACACCTTGTGTCACCTTGAACAGCGATGCTTGACACATCTTGTGTCACCTTGTACAGCGATGTTTGACGCACCTTGTGTCACCTTGTACAGCGATGTTTGACGCACCTTGTGTCACCTTGTACAGCGATGTTTGACACACCTTGTGTCACCTTGTACAGCGATGTTTGACACACCTTGTGTCACCTTGTTCAGCGATGTTTGACACACCTTGTGTCACCTTGTTCAGCGATGTTTGACACACCTTGTGTCACCTTGTTCAGCGATGTTTGACACACCTTGTGTCACCTTGTTCAGCGATGTTTGACACACCTTGTGTCACCTTGTTCAGCGATGTTTGACACACCTTGTGTCACCTTGTTCAGCGATGTTTGACACACCTTGTGTCACCTTGTTCAGCGATGTTTGACACACCTTGTGTCACCTTGTACAGCGATGTTTGACACACCTTGTGTCACCTTGTACAGCGATGTTTGACACACCTTGTGTCACCTTGTTCAGCGACGTTTGACACACCTTGTGTCACCTTGTTCAGCGATGTTTGACACACCTTGTGTCACCTTGTTCAGCGATGTTTGACACACCTTGTGTCACCTTGTACAGCGATGCTTGGCATACCTTGTGTCACCTTATACAGCAATGTTTGACACACCTTGTGTCACCTTATACAGCGATGTTTGACACACTGTTATGATCTCAGGCTGCAGGAGAAATGAATCTTCCCCAGACAGTTATTCTGCAAGACCTGACCTAACTAAGAGGTCAAGGAAATATAAACCTGGAGATGTATATAATAGACCCTCGATTAAATTTGGTAAATAGTTTAAGAGTATTGACAGAGAATAAGGATATAAATAAATGACTTGACATGAGATGTGGAGAATTTGTTGGTGGTATGAGGCTGGCTTCAGAGGAGCTTGAGCTCACTTGAATTGAAGAAATCGTGAAGGGAGGGCGTGCTCCGTTCGAGCCCCTAGTGAAGAAGAACCCCTATTTGATATACATTCAAGAGGAAGGAAGTGGACAGACGTTTCGACAGAGGAATACGTTTGGAAGTGTGTCAGCTCGAGTCGTGAACTGCAGGTGTTGTGGAGCAGTTAAAGCAGTTCTGTGGGTAGCCTGAGGCGCCCTGACTGTCGCCACCCTGCTAGCGAGCGCCAGCAAGCGCCCTTGTACAACTTACTCGGTGGTAAGCCCATTTTTAACCAGTTAACAGTGATTGCCTGTAGTTGGTCGTGTGCCCGGCGACCGTAGCAAGTGTATACCGATATATTAGGCATATTTTGATAAGGCAGGAAGCCTAAATAAGAAAATTAGGATGAGGGTACTAGCTGAGAAGAGAAGCAGCATAGCCTCTCCCGCCGAGCTCAGGGAGGGAACTGAGGGCCTGCCGCTATCTGTCTTGAGAGTGAGGAGCCCAGCCGGGTGGAGAATGAACCCGCCCGAGGGTGGGGGAGTCCCCTCACGGCTTTTGGGAATCAGAGAGGTGTAGAGTGAAGACATTTATGTTAGGTGAATATTTTAGTTATCTGTTAATAGGGAAACATTTTTATTGGCATGTCAATGGGTTGCAGGTTTGTCTGGGGAAGGAGCTGATTAGGGAACCTCAAGCACAGTATAGGGAATTAGTGGATGAACCTCCAAGCCTGCTGGAGGAGCACTGTACTCTGTGGAAGAGCAAGCCCCATAGTGAGGAATTGGACCTCAAACTGTGTGAAGAGGAGCAGGTGAAGTGAAGTTTCACATGCTTCTGTGGAATTAGTGGTGGAATACCACTAGCGTCCAAAGAAAACTTGATGGTACAGCAAACTGGAAGAGCAGTAGAGGATCCTGGTAGATAAACCTGGAAGATGCTGATGATGTCAGGTAGTGAACTTCCAGATGTGGAAAGGAAGTTCTTATTGACTACTTGTAGGGAGTTCGTAAAGTGCTTGATTGTCATTAGTGTGCAAGACAAGATTCAATGAAAAGTGGGTGATTGGTTATCATTTTTGTGTGAAGGAATACTTATACTAAGGTTTATAGAGTTACAGTTATAGGCTGGATTACCTGTGGATATATATATATATATATATATAATATATATATATATATATATATATATATATATATATATAATATATATATTATATATATATATATATATATATATTGGTAGCAGTCTTTCCTGTAGACATATATTATTAAATATGACCGAAAAAGTAAGATTAATAATTCTAACACGAATTTTCTCAATCTTTCGTACATTTCTTTTCACTGTTGGTGGTAATTCAAAAATCAATTCTCCAAAATTCAGTTTTTATTTCTAGTCTGACGCGACACTTGAGCGCGTTTCGTAAAACTTATTACATTTTCAAAGACTTTAGTTTACACATACACAACTGAATAGAACTTACACATCTCCGATTTGTTTATATCTACATTTGAGTGAGGAGGATAGGGTGAGGTGGTATTAATAGGGTATTAAATTCATCAACACAAGACAGAACACGAAACAATGGGTATTGAATAGAAGTGATTGTAGAAAGCCTATTGGTCCATATTTCTTGATGCTTCTATATTGGAGCGGAGTCTTGAAGTGGGTAGAATATAGTTGTGCATTAATTGGCTGTTGATTGCTGGTGTTGACTTCTTAATGTGTAGTGCCTCGCAAACGTCAAGTCGCCTGCTATCGCTGTATCTATCGATGATTTCTGTGTTGTTTACTAGGATTTCTCTGGCGATGGTTTGGTTGTGGAAGAGATTATATGTTCCTTAATGGAGCCCTGTTGCGTTATGCATCGTTAAACGCCTAGAAAGAGATGTTGTTGTCTTGCCTATATACTGGGTTTTTGGAGCTTACAGTCCCCAAGAGGGCATTTGAAGGCATAGACGACGTTGGTCTCTTTTAAAGCATTCTGCTTTGTGTCTGGAGAGTTTCTCATGAGTAGGCTGGCCGTTTTTCTGGTTTTATTGTAAATCGTCAGTTGTATCCTCTGATTTTTGTCTGTAGGGATAACGTTTCTATTAACAATATCTTTCAGGACCCTTTCCTCCGTTTTATGAGCTGTGGAAAAGAAGTTCCTGTAAAATAGTCTAATAGGGGTATAGGTTTTGTGTTAGTTGTCTCTTCAGAGGTTGCATGGCGTTTCACTTTCCTTCTTATGATGTTTTCGACGAAACCATTGGAGAAGCCGTTGTTCTAGCAGGTCCTAGTCAACAACGGCTTCTCCAATGGTGTCCAAACTGGACATTCTTCAGAGATACATGTATAAAATAGAGCTAAATTATATGCCACTGAACTAAAAACATCAACACCAATAACAGTAAAAGTAATGTACATGCTGTAATGACAGTGCTAGCGCAGATGTTATAACACTAACAGATACAGCACACTACTGATATAGATCCTATATCATCAATATTAATGTCGCATGACTAACATTAATGCCATGAACTTAGCAACAATGCCGCTCCATTAAAATGTGTTCAAACGTAAATACCTTATTTCTAACAAATATATCACAGCACTGACAAAAACCCAAAGCACAAATGGGAATCAAAAAGGTATAAGAGACGGTCATCAACGCCATCAGGTATGCCACACAGCGCTAACAATAATGCCAGAACAATAATGCCAGAACAGTAACAAAAATACTACAATATTAACTCCATTAGAGCATCAACAACTGCGAGGCAACAATGCCAGAGATTCCACAGCACCAGCAAAAATGCGGACACGGGCAATATTATCCTGCCTCTTACACATACACACACACACAATTCCACCTACGCTTGCAGCTGAAAATTTCCACACACACACACACACTGACCCAATCATTACCAGCCTTCGCAGGCTGCAGATTTTTAATTGCATGTTGTGGTAAATACGAGAGACAATGTGACAAATCAGTCGAGCCAAATTAATTGGAGTCACAGAATGCTCTAACAAGGGACGTAACAAAATACATTT